AATTATATAATTAGAGTATAGTTATTATAATAAGACCTAAAAGGATAACTATACCTCTATACCTTCTTCTCTTATAAACTCTATAGACCTAAGTTTAACTACTAAATTTATAATAAAGAACTTATAATAATTATTAAAACCTTTAAAAAATAAAAACCTAAATTATTAAGAATAATTTATAAAATACTTATATACTTAGACTATAAGAACCTCTTATACTTTATAACCTTAAAAATATTTAATAAATAATAAATCTAATAGTTAGAATTCCTCTTAAAATTTAACTTCTAAATAATCTATTAAAAAGGATTAGATAATAGTAGAGTAGACACTTTTAGCTAATAACTAAACTATAATATCCTAATACCTAAAGAAACCTAAGTAATTCTTAAATAATAAAATAATAGAAACCTAATATTAATAGCTAAACTCCTAATAATAACTAGATAATCTAATACTAACTTAGCTAATAAACTAAATAATAAAGTAATTATAGAATTTTATATATACTTTATATATAGTTACTAAAGAATTATAAAAACCTAGAAATAACTATAATAATAATATAGAGAAAAGGTTATAAGAGAATATATAATAAAAGCAATTAAGAATTATAAAGTATACCTAAAAAGTAAACCTATTTAATATTAACTTTATAGTATATTATAACCTTTATTTATACTATAAACTACTTAGTAATCTATATCTCTTAACTTTATTATTAAACTACTAAAGTTATAAGAACCCCTTATATAAGTATACTTTAATAGTATTCTTATTATTATAAACTAACTTATAAAGTATACCTACTTTATCTTATATAAAGAAGTAAGTAATACTAAAGAATATATATATACCTTCTTTAAATATATTATTACTAACTATAGTATACTTAAGGAAATTATATTAGATAGAGATAAGATCTTTACCTCTAAGTTTTAGAAGTTAATTATAATATAACTTAGTATTAAATAATTAATATCTACTATATTCTACTTATAGATTAATAGATAAATAGAATAAATTAATTAAATCCTTTAAACCTATCTCTATATTTATATTAACTATAATTAAGATAACTAAGTTATACTTTTACTAATTACTTAGTTTACTTATAATAATATAATTAGAGAAAATACTAAAGAATCCCCCTTCTATTTTAACTATAGTTTTAAATTAACTACTTATAAAGAACTCTAAATAAACTTAATAGTAATTAAAGTTACTACTTTAGTATAATAAATTAAGGATATCTAAAATAATACTTATAAAGAACTTAAATTTATCTAATAATAAATATTAAGATTTAATAATAAATAAAGGATTAAAGGACTAACTTTAAAAGAGGGAGATAGTACCTACTTTATATAATAAAATATTAAAATAAAATAACTAAGTAATAAACTTAACTATAAAAAACTTAAATTCTTTAAAATCTTATAAGTTATCTCACTAGTTAATTATAAACTTAAACTTTTAAAAACTATAAAATATTACTTAGTATTTTATATTTTACTTCTTAAACTAGTACTATAAGGATTATAAATAAATAACCTAATTATTATAGAAGATAATAAACTAAAGTATAAAATAGAGAAGTTACTAAATTACTAATATAGAGATAATAAATAGGAATACCTTATTAAATAGAAAAACTATAGATATAAAGATAATATATAAGAACCTAATAATAAC